GAGTACTCAAAAAAATATATTCGGATGGTTAAAAATCAAATGAATATCCGGAAAACTATTCGGATAGTTTTGGTTCTACGGATAATTGAAATATTATTTGATATCCGAAACTATCCGGATTTCGGATATCCGTATCCGAATTATCCGGATATCCGCAAAATCCTAATTTTACGGACACAACCCAAGTAAATATTTCATCGGTAAAATATCGGTGCGTCTTAGAGGACACGCGCTATAAAAAAATGTAAATAAATTTTGGCTTCGACGACTTTTAATAAAAACATTTACAAAATTAACCCTTTAAACGTACGAAATTATTTTTTTTTCAAAAAAAATCGTTTTAATGTGAAATGTTATCAAGATTTCAGGAAAAATATGGAAAACATTTTTTTTTTTTATTAGAAATTGTATTTTATGAAAATTTGCATTATGTTACTGCATGCAGGGTCACTTGAGAACCCAATAATAAATTCATTTTCCCACTATAATTTCAAACTAAATTCAAAGAAAGACAATAACATATGATCCCCAAGGATATTGTAGATGTATACATAAATTGTTTTAGCGATTTAGCTCTTACAATTACACAAACTTATTTTTAAATTGTATAGAAATGTGAAATTGATAAGATCAGTGTATATTTCAAAAATGTGTAATATTTCTTTTAAAATCTGATATGAAAATTAATTAAATTAATCTGAATACATTTTTATAAGTTTTTGCCTATTTGTTGTAATAACGTAAAATAAAATCTAACAATAATATCACAACTATGTAGCCTTATGGGCCATGGAAAACCTGCTTTGCATTTAATGGTTAAAATAAAGTTTTGATTTTTAATTTTGTATAGCAGTATTTTATAAGTAAATATAAGATACCAACGAAAATTTTAGTTTCATAACAAGTTCAAACGAATTTTGAAAAATATCTTATAGTTTACTCTCTAATAAATAAGTGACTTTGCCTCCTCTTAATAAAATATATAATGCAATTTGCATTTACGATTCTGTTTTGTTAAGTACCTAACAAGTACCCGTATAAATAATAGTATGTAATTTTGTAATATATTATGTTACTTATGTTTACGTTCTCCTTATTATACAAAATTTCTAATAATAGTTTATACCTATTCTTAAAATGGTCTCAGAAAATCGGATTTTAATTATTTATTTAGTTTCTGCAATGCTAAAATAAATCTAGTTTAGCGCCCACGCGTTTTTTCAATTTTTTTTCTTCTATTGTATGCGTTTTTACGCTGATAACGATAGTGAAGTGAGATATTGTCGGTCTGACACACATTTAATGTTATAAGCGAAAACTTAATTTACTTCTTTTTTTTTTAAAAGTGCAATTACTTATTGAATTATGACTTTTATTACATTTTTTTTCTTCAAAATTTGTATTTGTTATGCTTAAAAAAATGGCGCAAACAGAAATTTAATATCATACTTATTTTTCACGTTATAAGCAAAAACTTGAGATCCGTAATTTATCTTATAAACGCGATAACGCTTTCAAAAAAAATATTTTTTATTTTAATTTTACTCAGTAATCGATTTGGAAGTTTTTAGTAAAATCAGAATTCACCTAGCGTACTTACTTTTTGAGTTATTTATAACTTAGCAAAAACCAATGCGAATTATTATCATGGCGCGCGGAGCCCAAGGCACATCTAGGATGATTCGTCCCAGTTAAAAAAACGTGTTTGCGGACAATTCGTCCCCAGTAACTATTGAAAATAGACAATTCGTCCCCGGTCTAGTTTGATTATAAAATTTCCCATCATATTTTGTTTTTGATAACAATTTTGTACGGCAGGTCACCGAGTGTTTTGGCTTATTGGGGATCTTAGTCTGTGTCATAACATATATTAATATCTGTGTGCACAAGTGTTATCGGACAAGATATAAATAACTCAAAAAGTAAGCACGCTAGGTGAATTCTGATTATACCAAACACTTCCAAATCTCCTACTGAGTAGGTATAATGAAAACAAAAATAGTTGAAAAATTATAATTTTTGAAAGCGTTTTTAAGAAAAATTACGGAAAAAGTAAATAAGATGTTAAATTTCTGTTGCGCCATTGTTTTAAGCATGAAAAAATAATAAGTAAATTTTTTAACTTCAAAAGTAAGTCAGACCGACCAAATCTGACTTACTATCGTTATCAGCGTAAGAAAGCACAGAAGTTGAAGAAAAAAATATCGAAAAAAACGCGTGGGCATTAAACTAGATTTCTGCTGCATATTTTGCGAAGTGCATGTGCTTAACATCATCATTTCAAACCTATCAGCTAGATGCATTTTTATATCTGATTAAAACCTATACAGAACCCATTTTTTATACACCTAATGAAATTAGCATGCTAGCGATATTGCAGTCACATTTTTGTATTGTATTTTTTATAATAATGAATGGGATAGGTATCTAATAGCTGTAACAATACCTAGGATACCCTAATTTAAGCCTAGAAGGCGGTTAGACGACAGTGTAATCCACTTGCCGTACTGCATTGTAAAATAACTAATAATGCTTCACTACTATTTGCTTTTCAATTATTTAAGTTTAACATATTTAAAAATATGATAATCATATAATGATTTTTTTTTCAAATAGTTTATTATGGCAGGGTCCCTTAGCTAAGGAAATAAATACATATAATCATTATATTATACAACATTTCATGTCTTATTAGTTAAAATATTTATTGTTTAATTATTTTGTAAATGTGTTTTTAGGATCTAATAACTCGTGTGGTGTTAACATTACTGCAACTTACAATATTGAAAATGGTCGTTATTTGTGCCCCAATTGTTACAAATCATATAAACATAAAAGTTGTGTTTGGCGTCATTTAAAATATGAATGCGGTGTTGAACGAAGATTTTATTGCAGTATTTGTGAAAAAAAATTCACAAGAAAAACTGTTTTGGACAGTCATTTGGTAGCTGTTCACAAAATATTGCCACAACAAATAAATACAATTGTTTAATAGTTGAAAATATGTTAAAAATAACAAAATGTACAACTTTTTAAATCTGAAGTTAAGAATTCACTAAAATGTTTATTTTGTTGTTTTTTTTTTTTGTGTTATTGAAAGTTTTGGCAAAAGTTTATAAAGTGTATTTTTATATCATAAATAAGCAACACTTAATTGAAATCAAATATTGGTTATTACTCTTAATTATAAACTGCATTTGGAATACATTTGTTTATGATAGATTAATAAAATAAAATGTTTATATTATCAAATTAAAAATATATTGGATATTGCTTTAATAGTTTGTGTTTACTATTTAATACTTAGCAATAAAAAATCCGTCCTTGAATATATTTTTGTTTTCTGATGGATTTGACGTTATGAATGGTAATAGTTTGGTTACCTTCATTGAAATCTTGATTCGGTGTCATGAATAGGCAGTAGTATATAAAAAAACTTCTAAAACTTAATAAAATAAAAAATATTCTTGTAATATTTTTAAAATTGCAATTAAATTTACAGATCAAGGGAACTTCAGATATTGGTGCCCTAACCACTGTGGACGATCATACAAAAATAAGAATGGAATTTTGCAGCATTTAAAGTACGAGTGTGGAGTGGACCCTATGTTTAAATGTCATTTATGTCATAAAAAGTGTGCTCAAAAATCAGCATTGAAAACACATATGGTGGTACATCACAAGCGTATTCCTTTGTAATTTAATTTGTTAATAGTAATTTAAGAAATAAGAATTACATTTTTTTTTTAGATATAAGAATTTTTTTTGTAACAATATTTATTAATTCAATCAAATAAAAGACAGTATAAGATGCTAATCTTTATAAGACTGACAATGCTAGCTGCTTAAATGAATAAAAATTATATATATACAAGGCAGAGAGAAGTCAATATAAACAATTGTTTTAGAACTTTGAAGTAATAACTAACTTGACTTTTCTTAACTAACTCTGAAAAATGATATGGTACAATGTAAACCGGAATATTAGCATAATAGGTGATGTAATTCTATAACTTGTTACCTTTAACTCTAATATATAATATATATATTTATTTTTTTTTAGTTTGATTTACTTTATTACTTATTATAGTTAAAGATTTTATAATATTTCAAATAATTTACTTTCATATTGGTCATCAGTTAATAAATGTATTAGTAAGAAGTAGTGATACCTCGTAAGGATTGATAAAAGTAGAATCGTTAATTTTGAGTTACTGATCACTTGATTATTTACCAGATACAATTACCAATTTACAAAATAATCTGAAAATACAATAATATAGTAAAATACTAAACACGAATTAAATGTTATTTGGGTTACAACTAATAAATGGATATGAAAAATCACATACTGCCATACAGTTAACTGACGTACACAAATCAACAACACAACATTGTCAACGATAACTTTCAACTTTGTATTTAAAGAAACCATTAACCACAATCTTGTTCATTCATTTAATTTAATTCTTTTTGCTTTTTTTTTTTTGTTTTTTATAATTACTATGATTTTGTAAGCGGTGTCGAGAATCGAGATGACGAGATCGTTGATGTAATGATGGCTCAATTACTGATACTAATTACTAATAAGTAATATCATTGAGTATATAATACTGTACAATATATACCTACTCAATGGTAATGTTATAGAAAATATAGCCGGTAGGATGCGGGGGCGGATGGTGAAGTCACGGCTGACTTATTATCAACTTCTCGTATTATCAACTGTCAACTCGAAATTCGAATGCGCATGTGCAAACATTTAACATTACCCGGTAAAAACGTACAGTGCTCTCATGTCAACCCTCTGGAACTACTACAAGCATGCTCCATCAGTATTACAAACAAGGCCTATAATAAGTAAACTATAAAGAAACCGTTGCTAACATCTGGTGTGATGGCGAGAGGCGGGCGCGCAGCCAACATCTGTACGGTCCCATAAATCCATTATGGCCGTATACCGTGGTTGGTGGCGGCAGACTATAGTTTGTAGTGGTGGTGTGTCCGCATGCGCGTGTGTGTGTGTATGTATGTAGTGGAAATGACTGTGTGTGTGTGTGTGTGTGTGAATAGTGAACCGTTCTGTATAGCGCGTGCGTGCGAACGAGTGTGTTGTGTTTGGTCCTTTTTTTCGTACACACACACACGCATATAATATATATATATATACATCCTATTATCTGTCGTACGGGTTCGGAATTGGTTTTTAAGGTGTGTGTGTGTGTGTGTGTATGAGTTCATGAACGTGTGTGTGTGTTCTGGTGTTTGTGATGTCCGAACGGACGAAAATATCGTCGCCGAGTAGATCTGCGTAGCCGAGAGAGCAAAAATATAATTAAATAAAAGAAAAAAACCGGAGAAGAAGACGCGTTAGTCGCCGCTACATACACACCGTATCATCGTCGAAGTCATCGTTGAACACCGGGCGTTTTCAAAAACTGGTGTCCCCCGCCGAATTCACGTTTAATGATAAGTCAAAAGGAAATAAGATTATTGATATTTATACATTGATCGATAGTAAAAAATCGCAAAGTCGCCGCCGAACAGTGCACCAACGCAAACCGTTAGGTTCGTGTGTTTTAGTGCGCGTTGCTGAAAATTCCGTCCCGTATGTGCTCTCGTACCGTGCCTGCGGTATAATATTGATCATTTTTGGCGAACAAATTTAAAAAAGTTCGGATCGTCCGATACTTGGTCTTTAGAACCCGTCATGTCCGTCAGCCAACAGTTTTGTTTGCGATGGAACAATCATCAAAGGACCCTGATTTCGGTGTTCGACAGTCTTTTGGAAAGCGGTACCCTGGTGGACTGTACGCTGGCAGCCGAGGGACGTTACCTCAAAGCTCACAAAGTCGTCCTATCCGCCTGCAGTCCGTACTTAGGGGTAAGTGCGTCATAGCCCTTTGATATAAAAACTATAAGTACCTATATATTATGTTTTTTGTTTAGTGTCGGGTAGGTTCTGATCGGTCTGTTATTAAAATATTTTAAGTAGTAGGTATAATGTGTTGATTGATATTTTTACGAAGTTTTTATGAACGTAGGTAGTGAAAATATGCAGATAGGTTTAACGTACGATGAACCAGGATCCTGGTTTTTTTTTCTTTTTGTTTCGAGGGCATTTCCGTTTGGTTTTGGCCTACTTACGCGCCGCCGCCGCATGTGTATGCGGTGTCTGCACACGATTTTCACCAGGCAGTATGAAAACCAGTTCCACACCCCTTCACTTTTTTCCGTCTTTTTTCCTGTTCCGTTATTCGCGCACTCTCAATATAATGACAAAGGAAATTTCTCTTTTTTTTTCGTGAATTCACTGTTGGCAGAGAAATTTCACATACCTACCGCATATAAATAATAATGTACCTACTAATTTTATTAAAACGAGTAAAATAGTATTGATAACAATACAACATGAATATATGTACAACAATATATGTAATAACTGAATTTCACGTAGGTAGCACATCATTATATAAATATAGTCTATAAAATATTAAAAAATTATTTTGAAATAATAATATGAATTATTATTTTTTTGTTTAATCCACCTTAATTGCAGTTACATTATAATATGTGTACGTGTTTTGTTTATTATCGTTTGCTACTGTTAATAACAATTATTGTTGATATAGCCTTTTAAAATAGGTATTTAATTTAGAAATATCTATTTAAATTATGGAATTCAATTAAATTAATAACAAGAAAGAAGTTTATCAAAACATGTTGCATTTTCAATTTTTTAATTACTATTCTGTAATATTTCTAATGTCTAACTATTTGTTATGTTCCTCCTATAAGTTTTCCCTTTTAAACCATAAATATGTTCAGTTATTGAACAGGCAAATATATGTACAGAACTTTTTTTTAGAGATTTAGAATTTTATGTTATTATATCTTAACAATTATGTATGGTGTCTCGATTATGTGGAATTCTAGAGTAAATATACAACTACATAGTATAAAAACTATACTACACAGTATGTGTTGTACTTGCTTATGAAATATGAAAATTGTTTTGTTCTTCAACGGTAAAGTTTTCAATTCTTGATTAAAAAAGAATATCCCGGAATAATCCATTGTTTTTTTTTATTATTTTTTTTTTTTTAATAATTAGAAGAAAATGACCACATTCAATTTTTAGTGAAACTCTAACAGTCACAATTATTCTTTCAGAAAATATTTATAAACAGAATAAATAAGTGTTCAAATAAATAAAAACTTCTCAGTATATTTCACATATACCTGGGAGATTTTCCACTTAAATAAAAAGACAAGAGGATTCAAATATAAATCGTTAAAAATCTATTTTACTCATTTATTACCAATATGAATAAATAATATAATATGTAATCAAATTTACCTGTTCGATAAAAAACAACTTTAAAAATAATGATAAATTTTAATTACCTTCTAATTTACTTATTAATGTTTACTGTTCCTCTTTATTTTAATTAACATAATATAATCTATCTATGTAGTAAATACGTTGTAACTACATATGTAATTGTATGATTCTATAAATTATGTGTTTAGGTATTTTGTTTTTATTTTAAATATATCAATATAACCAATTGTTTTATGATTAATAATAAATTGCATTAATAATTTTTTTTATTTAAGAAATGATAATTTATATATTTAAAAAATTATTAGGTACTTTTTCTTTACATAGTTTACAGACTTCCTTTCTCCTTTCTAACATACCTACAAAAATATGTTTAGCAGTGCCCTACCCTTCCAGCATACCTTTCCAATTTCTCTTTCTTAAAAGCCCACCACTAAATCTGCTTTCATAAATTCACACAGACATTCTCTTATACACACTGATAAACTTTTTTTTTAATTTCTTACACCTGATATAATAATAATTTACCTTGACTTTTTATCAGCATCAATATGTTATCTCTTGTTTACCTGAAAAATCTTTAATTTAGGGGGAAAAAAATGTCAAAATTAAGTACCTTTATGGGAAACATATTTGATTTTTTTATTGGTTTATTGACCAAATTGTTTACTAACTTTTAAGTACTCAGATTTATTATTTTAAAATAACCTTTCAAGTAGTGATATCAGTCAAAAGTTTTTTTCGTCATCATTCTAATAAGGTATCTTCGAAAATTATAGCTTCAAAACTAAACAATGAAGCTAAAAAAAAAAAAATGAAGTAAAAAATCAAAAATATATCTACTTTAAACGTGGCAATCAAATGGATAAGACAAATTAGCTTTGAGTCCACCACTAAATATTATCCCATCAAATTCAAGTAGGTTTATTGATTAGTCAAAATAGACTAGCTTAAACAATTTCTATTAATATAAGACAAGTGTTACTTTATAAACTGTCTGGTAAGGATGGAAAATATTTAAATTATATTTAGTATTCTGTTGTTTTTATATAAGGTAATATATATATATATATTATTATTATTATTATTATTATTAATGAGGTTACTTAAAATATCATTTGCACATTATTTTGTAGTTTAAAAAGTTAGTTAATCTAAAATATGGTTATTTTAAATGAGGAAAAGTGAAAGTTAAAAAATCCTATCAAATTAATTAAGTATGAAAATGAAATCAAATTTACAAGATTAGAAATTGCCATAACTTTCTTTTCAACAATAATTTTATTCATACGTCTATTAGTTAATATATGTTATAACATGAAATAGGTATAAATTAATTCTTGTTGCTAACAAAAATATTATTGCTACCTAATACTATTACAATATATTGTCTATACCAACTTAATTTTTTATTTTGTAGATTTCGAACTCTTATTATAAAAATACTAATTGTCAGAAATCTATAGAATTCAATAATGAACATAATGTTAACTATCTAAATAAAAACGTATTTAAGTCAGGTGTCACGAAAATTATATTTTAAATAATTAAAATCTCACACCTAGAAAATTACATGTTATACTTAATACACTTCTTTACTTAAAATCTACCTATTACTTATTCTATTAAACTGTTGTCTAAGAAGCCATTTCATCATAAATAATTTTTCTAGGTTTTATTAAGTCAACATCAAGAGAAACATCCAATTTTAATTTTAAAAGACATCAAGTTTCAAGAATTAAAATCCATGTTAGATTACATGTATCGAGGTGAAGTAAACATTTCACAAGAAGAACTTGGAACCTTTTTAAAAGCAGCAGAATCTCTTCAAATTAAAGGTTTAACAGAGAGTGCCGGTATTGGGGTTCGTGAAAATTCAGATTTTGAAGATCCTGTATCTAAAAGATTTGATCATAGGAAGCAGCCACCTTCTCTATCATCTGTTAGCTCTAATTCACCTACTACTTGGAGTCAAAATGAAACTACTCGTACCTACTCAAGACCCAGAGAAGGTAGCTTATCACCAACAACAAAAAAAAGAAAATTACAACGAACAAATGGTCCTGAAGATCATCATCAAGATAATGGTGATGATAGTATGACTGAATCTGAACCTCAAGCTGTTGAAAAATCGCCTACAAATAATAATAATATCCCTTCTTCAGTCAATAAAGTTATTAAAATGGAGCCTTACCGAAAGTCATGTTCGCCAGAAAAAGAGTTTAATAAGACGACTGAAAATCAAATTGTTAAGCCAAAAGTAGAATCAATTTCTGGTGACCGACAGGAATGTTTGACTGAAATGTCTTACGATGATAGTGTGGATGATATGACGTTAGAAGAAGAAGAAGAAGAGTATGATGAAAACGAAGTATCACAACCAGGAACTTCACAAGGAGATACCAATCATAATGGTAAGTAGATTATACTTGTTTTAAGTTAACTATAACGTGTATTTTAAGGGGAACAAATAAGGCTATTAAGGGCAAAAAATAGGCCATATTTCATATTAGTTTATCTGGGAGCTGTTTTAAATATAAGGGTTTGAGGGAAGTTATGTGACCAATAGTTACCATCATTGGTTTCGTATGTATATAAATAAAATGGTAAATGAATACTTATTTTTGGTAAGTTCATAGCTTAAAAGTTTTTTATTTTTTATTTATGACAAAAGTTTACTAAAAAATTACTTTAGTAAAGTCATCATTATCTATTCAATGTTTCAATTTTGTTTTTAATTTTTAAATGTCTGATTATTATTATATATTTTCTTTAATTATAAAATTAATAACATTTATTAAAAAGTAAATGCTAATTATTAGAGCTTCTTAAACTCACGTGTTCACCAAGATATGTTTATCAGAATTTTCGAATAATTTGTGTTTAAGTTTGCAACATTAACTTTAATACAAGTTATATGTTTGGTACTTATAAGAATTCATTCAAAATTGAATAAGTAAATTTTTGGCCAGTGTGGCCACTGAACTAATATACCCTTTATATGATGTAAAAAAAAAGGCACTTAAAAAAATTGGTAAATTTATTTATTATTATTTTTTAGCAATAACAGCATCAAATTCATGGCAGTTAGAAACAAGTAATCAAGATAGCACAAGTACTGTAAATACGCCGATGGATTGCAAAGGTAAGATTTGAGCTGTTGTACTATTTAGTTGCATATTATTAGATATCTAGTATATATAATTACTGTGAAATTTAAACAGTTTAAAACTTAATGATATATTATCATATTTGCATGATTAAGGGATTTAAAAAATAAACTAAATATATGGATGTAGGTTAATGTATATTGGCAAATTGATGCGTATAAATCCTTGAACATTATATTGTATTTTAATAGCCGATTATTCAGTTAATGTACCCAAAAAACTTAAGATGAGTTCTTAATTGCATAATTTAATGACATTTAATATTAAATGTAAAATAGGGAAAAAATAATAATTTGTATTTATTTTTTTTTATATAATGCATAAAATGGTGATTTTTTTTCATTTCATTCTCGTAAAACTATTTACAAATTCAAATTTTTTTCATAAACATTCACTTTTTCATTATACTTCTAATTATTTACTAATTTGTTTTATTTAATTTATTTTGATAAAAGTTTAAGAAAATATTTGCATTGTCAAATTTAAATATTCATCATACTTTATAGACTATGTATATAATTATGTATAGACTGATGTAAACTAAATACTTAAATGTTTATTTTTCAAGTAGAATTTTTAACACTATTTACTAACAACCAGTATCAATTATGCATGCTTTTGTGAGTGGCTTAAATGCATGTATGTATGAAAGCTTGGTTTTATGATGGCTTTTTTTTTTTTGAAAGCATAGAATTTTTGTTACGCTTTTTTATTCTTTATTTTTAGCGGGAAAAAAATGTACAGGTGAATATAAGTAAGTTATATAAATTACACTATCTTGCGCTCTACTGAATGATAAATTAAGGTTATCTGGCGCGATTGTCTCGTGTACCATTACCATATTAAAATCTGAAAATTTATTTTAATATAATGACTTGAAGATTTCTGTAGAGAATTTGATCGGTTTACTAGTACTTCTTATCTTACTTACTGTTTAAATATAGACAAGATTATAATTCAAGTTGTAGTATAAACAGATCTACTAAGTGTGGTTAAAGTCCAAATAAATAATAACCACTGTTAATGGATAATAACAGATATCTATAAATCATAGTAATTTTTCATTTTAGTCACGTAGACTGTTGTATTGTAAGATATGAATACCTGTCTGTATACCATATTTATATATATATGTATATTGTGTAGCACATTTGTATGTATAACAATATAAATGTGAAATTTAACTGAATTATTGAAATTGGTATCCATTACATTCTTCATATTTCTTTCCTAATTAAGCATTATTTTTGGTAGTATATATAATAGAAAAAGAAATACATTTATGGAGCATTTTTCATCAGGTATCAATACATCAACTTTTAGGTAGTTCACTTTTTTCCAATTATTGGGTATACAGAGAAGTATAAAAGTGGAAATGTTATAATAGCTAACAAGTATTGCAAGAAAATGATTTATTAAACATAAGAATTGATTATATAAGTGTTTAATGTATTTTATTATTTTTAATGAGCAAATTTTTTTTTCTGTCACAGGATAAATATAACATTAGTCTTATCTGTGGCCTTTCTTAGATATTTAAATGTAGGTTTATCATTGAACATTTGACTAGCGCAAAGTTTGTTTCTCATGATCGGTATATGAATGAGTTAAATATGTATAAAAATTGTAATAAAAATCTTAGTGGTATTAAAGAAATATGATTTGCCTAAATACATTTATGTATTTGTTAAACACAGTAACTATATCAATATATTATTTATTTTATTATAGTCTATTATAAAATTGTATTCTGGATTATAGAAGGTATGTCAGTTTGAACCTTGCCAGTCATTTCAATACCAATAATCTTATATCATTTTGTTTTGACATTTCACTGAAAATACATTACTTAGTTATTCAAACTTGACTGTGGAGTAAATATTATTTAATATCTTAAATTATTGATATTTTTGGGAACCCAACAAATAAACTATACATTTTATTAAAAATATATATACATATTAATTATTTTCAATGTTTAAAGTACAAATTGTGGTGTTGTATTAATTTTAATCAAGACATCTATTTAATTATTTAGATTTTAAAGCACTTGAAAACAATTATGTTTTTGATATAACAAATTAGGGGTTAATTAAAGTAATGTAGTGCTTTGATTATTCAATAATAAATCATTTTTTATTGAATAATTATTTAAATTATTCTGTTCTTCGTACAGTAATGCTAAAACCCTCCGTCACATTGTCTAGCAGGTATTTTTGGTGTTGGATCTCGAAAACAATCTAGTTGCAGTCATAATAAAATGTCTAATGAAATTTTCAACATTTGTTAAGCATGTCAATTGTGCCAGCAAGATAGCATGTTAATAAAACGGGGATAAAATATTTTATATTTCATTTATTTTCTAAAAATCTGTGCTTATTTTTTTAATTATAATATTCGGTTGTATTTTATTAGATAGTACAAACACTATACTCAGGTAAAATAATATATACTTTATTCCATGTAAGAGCGGTATTGTGCAAAAACTAAATCGCATTACTCTCGTTTGCACTTGCGCAGCCTGGTGTGACTCATTTTGGTTTATGTGCTGTACCCCTCTTAAATAGGATAAAGTATTGATTAAAATATAAGAACTATTAAAAAAAATGCATTGGATCAAAGAGGTACTAGATGTCAAATAAAGTTGATAAAGAAAACGAGACAATTTATATTGATTAAGTTGAAGATTTCTATAAATGATTTCTCTGAAAAATATAATTTCAACTTTTCAAGTAATATTTTATGTATAAAACATTTTTAAGCTGTAAATATTTTACATATATTTCTTAACTAATAAAATGGGCATGGTTCTACTAACTTTGGACCGGTTAGATTAAAACGTTTTAATTTGTATTTTTTTTATTTTGGAAACTCTATGTGGTATGTGTGTTATGTGTGCTTTTCTTAGCAATAAGCTGTACGAGGTGCGGCCGTCATTACAAGCTGAAGAGCTCATTGTTGAATCACCAGCGCTGGGAGTGCGGCAAAGAGCCGCAGTTCAAATGCTACATGTGTTCGTACAAAGCAAAACAGAAAGCTCACTTGTTGACCCATATGAAGTACAGGCATAAACCTGAAAAGATAAAAACAGAATATTTTTATTGACAATATTTTATAGAAATAGATTATTCGGTACCGAAAGAAAAATGCTCCAATGTTTATCTTATATGGGGTTCAGTTATAAAATAATATCATGTAACTTTATAGTTTTATTTAATAGACTGATTTTGAAACTTTTTTACTGTTTTTTTTATCTAATTTGTTTCAGTTTTAAAATTAATTTATTATAATATATAGAGCTAAATAATATTATGATTGTTGAATAGGTGCAATAAAACATATATCTACTTTTTTATATTCCATATGTTGTTAAAGGGCTGTGTCTTGTATATTTTAAATGTATAATTTAGGTAGGTATTGTTGTTATATTTTAACTTAATTCCTAACACTTGTATATTTCTATTTTAATTCAGGTTACAAGTATTATTAGATTTTGAATTATGACATTTAAATAGTTATCAATTTTTTACATTTTTTGTACATTAAATATTAACTATGTTTTTATATGTTTGCCTAGTTTATTCAATAACAATTTTTCCATGGTTCTATTTTAAAATTAAATGTGATATTATATTTCACATAAAAACTGTCTATTTATTCTATGAAAATGCAGGGTTATACATTTTTGACACCCTTTTATTTTACCTTATTTTAAGCAGTCTAAGTGAGATTTAATTTATTTTCCAAATTATACACCACTTGTGTGTAATACTAAATATTTGTTATGATTTATGAATATAGTTAGATGTGTAAAATAAATATGTCAAAGGTCACCTTTTCCAAAGTAAAAGTTACGATTCAAAACATTAACATAGAAGTACAAGAGAAAGCTTCCTTACACTTTACGAATTTTAATAACATATTAGACTTTCATTGAAAATACCAGACATGCATAATAAATTGTTGCTAATAATATTATCATGTATCCATAGTACATTAAAATAAGCATTTTGTTTAATTATTTTTTAATAATTAACATGTATAATTATTATTTATACAATTATTATAATATTACTTAAATAGATGTATGTATATCATAGGTATCGTGTCTAAGATTAATTTTTATCTTAAACAAACACTACCATGTCTTATCCGTGTTAGAACAAGTACTTCAGTAACATTGATTCGCTCTATAATTTATTTGCTTCTCAACATTTCAACAAACTAATTGTCAAATTCAGAATGCCATTTTCTATTGAACCATATTTTGACTTAAGAAAAATAACATTTTACATATTTATTGTGTTTATATTGGTCTATCACTATTTCATTGTGAAATTTGTGTCGGAAGTGTAATAGTGCTGTAAGTCTGCATAAATATACTGATTATTTTAGAATATTATATAACTAACTAATATTAATGTTATTATTGTGCTTGGATTGGTTTAACACATCTTCTATTCTGTCTAGAACCTATTAATAAAATAATGTTTTAATAGGCTAATAGCTTGTCATAAATAAACATCATAAATGCTGATAGAATGTTTAACGCCACGCGGAAATAATCATATCATTAACACTTACAAGTAAATAGCATAACTAATTTTTACTTTTCTTTTTATTTATTATATAAATTAAAACATGTTTTTGGTGTCAGTCAATATGGAAAATAGTTGATAGGTATCTTAAAACTATTGTGCTGCAAAAATGTTTAGTGCTTATTAATCAATATATATTATTATACTGTCATTTATGGTTTCACTAGGAACATCTAAAATTGTTTTTGAGAACTTATCTTTCATATTGTTTTATCAAATAATGATTTTTTTAAAATCTAATACTCTAAACTAGATAATGAATTTTAACTGAAAACTAAAGTAAATTTTCCTAGCTCTTTGAAATTTGTATTATCTTATTTTTAATTTCTATAAATTTAGGTTCATCAAATATCAATAGTTTTGTTAGCTTAAATGAT